AAGAGCAGGCAAGAATTTAATTTGAATGTTTGTAAGTTGATAATTAGATAAGTCAGGAAGTGTATAAACACTTGCCCAGCTTCTACTGTGCTTGCCTTTGCTTTGTCGAATAGTATGACTTCATTGGTTATTTGAAGTAGCATTGCGGTGACCACGACCACGACTGTGACCACAGCCACAACTATAACTATTTGACCTAGTAGAATGCAATTCTTCAGAGTCATTATGACCAGGCTCTTCATCAGATGAATTTAAGTTTGGATTAAAATGGCTTGTCACATTGTCAAGTAAAAGTAAAATTTTTTGATTTTGAAGTCAAAATTGATTATCAAGATCTTTTAACCACTCTGCGAATATGTCACTTCGCATCCATGCTTTTGAGTTAGAACAGTATGTTACAAGTAAATTAGCATGGTTAATATCAGACAACGCTCGCAGTTCGATTGAAGATCCTATTACAATAGGCTTTAATTTCTTGGTACCAGTGGCATTACATGCTAAAAGAACAGTAATGCGAGTACGATCCTAAATTTATTAAAAGAATTTAGCTAGATAATAGTATAAAATATTAGTAGAAGTGGGCACCATGTGCTTTATCAATACATGGCGCTTAATCGTTCCATAATATAACATATAAAACTTTAACATCTGATATAATTTTTATATTATTAATGATGCTCATCTCTAATTAATAGTTTAAATTTTTAATTCAAATTTACAATAATTAGATCTAAATTATTTATTAAAATAAGTAACACACTTACTATAAGTGCACACACACTCTAAACGTATGTATAAATTCAGTTCATATTAATCTCTATAAATGTACTTTTCTTATTATGCTTTAAATCTCATTGCTAAAGTTTTAAATGGTTGCATTTATAGAGGGTTTACTACAATAATAGCTAAAAATTACTTTCCTTTTTCCATCCTGAACGAGATTGAGATGATAACATTTGGTTTGGCATCATGCGAAAAAATAATCCTGTTTCGTCTGCATTAAATACATCATTCAATGCATATTCTCGAATACTACTCTGTAAATTTTGTCTGAATTCTGGAAGATTACTGGTTGTTACACTGCCAGCTTCTCCATGTAATTTGAAATTTCGTAAACCATTCTACTTTTTAAATTGTCTTATCCAACTATTAGAAAATTTTAATCTATTATCTGGCAATGAAAGTGTCTTAACAAAATAAGCAGCCTTTTCTTTGATAAGTGCTTCAGTTAAAATAACCCATTGCTAACAACTTGCTCAACCCATAACTTCATAGCTTGGTCTAGCAAGAGAAATTTTACTTTTTTATGACAAAAAGTATCAGAAGTTGTTTTATCTTTAATGATGATCAACCATTTATCCTTTTCTTTAAGAATTTTAGAGATGGTTGAATGGTCGAGATTCCAGTTTGGATCTTGGGCATTAAAGTGCTTAGTGATTTGTACTTGAGTCTTATTGGGATTTTCTTTATGATATTTACAAATATCTCCTTTTAAGCTATTACTAACTGCTGTATGGGTTTTTTTAATAACTTGATTGTTAAAAATCATAATAATGGGTAATAATAATTGAAAGTTTTATAAGCAAAGTAAGTAAAAAAAATTAGATTAAAGGTGCATCTCATATATATACTAAAGAAACTTTGTAAGTGTATAACAATTTATATCATAATAATTTCTTAGAATCAATGATTAAATAAATATATACAACATAGTTAGATAATATCATGCTTTACATAATAATGACGATTCTAAATCTATTTGCACTAAATAATATATATCGATATAGAAAGTACGGTTAGCAGAATTTTTGA